AAAAAAAAAAAAAAAAAAAAAAAAAACAGATTTGGCTGTTGACGGGTGCTGCGTGAGGCGCTCTCACACTTCTGACCACTCGCTCGAGAGAGTGAGTTCCAGATCTGCAACCAAACTCAGAGCTCTTTATTATAGTCTAAGCTTTCAATGGGAGCATTTTATTTGAGTACAGACTTTCATTGAATTCACATGATCAGTTGAGGGCTCCAAGTCCATCATTAAAGGGAGGGGGGCAGACAGATTGTTCAATCCCATATCCCCTGCTGGTCGCCGAGGACCTCGGGGCGGGCGCGGCGAAGTGACAGGCGCCGTAGCCCATGGCTTCAGCGAACAGTAGGTAGCCCCTCCCCGGGTTTCCTAACACCGTGACAGCGGCTGGTGGAGACGGCTTTGCAACTTCTTATTGATGTACCTGCTCTGATTTGTCGCTGTCCGGGTTGACGGTCCCCTTCTGTTCTGGTCGAGGGGTCGGTCCTGTCGGAACGACACCATATTGTAGAACTCTCGGCAAACGAATATCTTGGCCCTCGCAACGATGAAGAGCGCAGCGAAATGCGATACTGAATGTGAATTGCAGAAATCCGTGAGCCATCGATACCTTGAACGCACGTGGCGCCCAAGGGTTCCGCCGAGGGCACGCCTGCCGTAGCATCATTGGATTCCTCACGACCTCAGCACCTTCCGTTTCGGAGAGTGGTGGGGTCCGTGGTCGTGGTTTCCCTCGCTTCCCACTTGGAGAGGACGATAGCCTAAAGTGGAAGGGAATTGGAGAGCATTCCGAGCGGGCCTGTGGGGGCCGCAGCCCAGAGTGGTGCGTTTCGCTCCGCCCTGTTGTTGCCCTCCAGCACCCGTTTGTGGGTGGTGGTCTTCGTTTCCCTGAAAACGGCACGTAAGGTCGTCCCTCCGGTTTGTGTGGTCGCCGCCTTCCGTTCGCTCCCATCAGCTTGAGGTGGGCTTGCGGGAGGGGGTGTCGGCCTCGAGATGTGGAGGTACGTCGGGCCTTGCCTTTTGATCTCAGGTCGGGCGGGAGCACCCGCCCAATTTAAGCATATAACTAAGCGGAGGAAGAGAAACCAACGAGGATTCCCTTGGTAGCGGCGAGCGAACCGGGAATAGCCCAGACTGAAAATCCGGGGGCTGTGYTGCTCCCTGAATTGTAGTCTTGAGAGGCAACCTCTGCAGCGGGCCTTGTGCAGGTTCCCCGGAAGGGGATGCCGAAGAGCGTGACAACCCCGTCGATCGCCGGACCCTGCTGCGCAACGAGGTGTTGTCCAAGAGTCGGGTTGCTTGGGAATGYAGCCCCAATTGGGTGGTAAGTCCCATCCAAGCTAAATATGTGCGAGGGACCGATAGCGAATAAGTACCACGAGGGAAGGATGAAAAGATCTTTGAAAAGAGAGTTAAAGAGTGCTTGAAATTGCCGAGCGAGAAGCGGATGGAGGGGAAGTCGTGCGCTCCCGTCAGGGCAGGGATGGACGGCGACTGTGTTGTCGCCCCTCTTGTTGGACGTGGGGTGCCTGCCAGCATGGGCTGCTGTGACCGGCATTGCGGTGGGGAGCGATTGAAACCCCCCACGGGTGGTCGTCACGGCAGTCAAGGACCTTGAGCACGTGACTCTTTCGGCGGGCCCGTTCGGGTTCCTGCGTGTTCGGGATGCTGGCGAAATTCCTCTATCCTGCCTGTCTTGAAACACGGACCGAGCAGTTCAACGTGCATGCGAGCCGGTGGGTGATTAGCCCACAAGGCGGAAGAAACCTGAGTGGCGGGAACCCTCCGCGGGTGCACCGTCTGCCAACCACGATCTGCTGTGAGAGGTTTGAGTGTGAGCATGCCCGTTGGGACCCGAAAGATGGTGAACTATGCCTGAGCAGGGCGAGGCSAGAGGAAACTCTGGTGGAGGCTCGCAGCGATACTGACCATCAAATTGTTCTTCGGAATTGGGTATAGGGGCGAAAAACTAATCGAACCGTCTAGTAGCTGGTTCCCTCCGAAGTTTCCCTCAGGATAGCTGGAGCTGTTGAACAGTTTTATCGCGTAAAGCGAATGATTAGAGGCCTCGGGGGTGAAACACCCTCGACCTATTCTCAAACTTTAAATAGGTAAGATTTCGGGGTTGCTTAAGCGAACCATGAGGATCAATGAAAGCTCCAAGTGGGCCATTTTTGGTAAGCAGAACTAGCGATGCGGGATGAATCGAAAGTCGAGCTACGGTGCCAAACTGCACGCTAACCGAGGCACCACAAAGGGTGTTGATTGATAMAGACAGCAGGACGGTGGTCATGGAAGTCGGAATCCACTAAGGAGTGTGTAACAGCTCACCTGGCGAATCAATCAGTCCCGAAAATGGATGGCGCTGAAGCGCGCGACCTATGCTCGGCCGTCGCAGCGATTCTGACGCCGCAACGAGTAGGAGGGCGCAGGGCCTGCTACGAAGCCTGGAGCGTGAGCCTAGGTGAAGCGGGTCCCGGTGCAGATCTTGGTGGTAGTAGCAAATATTCAAATGAGAAGTTTGAAGACCGAAGTGGAGAAGGGTTCCATGTGAACAGCGCTTGGACATGGGTCAGTCGGCCCTAAGAGATGTGGAAACCTTGTATCAAGGGCGCACTGCGCGCCGCACATCGAAAGGGGATCGAGTTCATATTATCGAACCGGGTTGTGGAGGCGGACGGTAACGTAAGCAGCTCCGGAGATGCCGGCGGGGGCCGTGGGGAGGGTTCTCTTTCAATCTTGACGGCTCGCCCACCCTGGAATCGGATCAACCGGAGATAGGGTGCAGCGCCCGGCAAAGCACCGCGCGTCCTGTGGTGTCCAGCGCGCCCCTGACGGCTCTTGAAAATTTGGAGCTGCTGGTACCTCTCACGCCCGACCGTACTCATAACCGCATCAGGTCTCCTAAGTGAGCAGCCTCTGGACAAAGGAAGAATGTAGGTAAGGAAAGTCGGCCATATGGATCCGTAACCTTGGGAAAAGGATTGGCTCTGAGGGCTGGGCCTAGCGGTGTGCGGCTCGATGTCGATGGCTGCTGGTGGTCTGACGGAGCTGCTCTCGCGGCAAGGGCGGAGCCCGCGTGCCAGTGTGCCGACGGGCGTAGAATGTCTTATGTCCCCACCTTTCGGGTGGGGCCGTGGGACTCTCCCTAAGCATCAAACTGCCAACTCAGAACTGGTGCGGACAAGGGGAATCC